GTTACAGTTCCCTATACACCTGAACAGAATGGTAAAGAGAGGTTAAATCGTTTAATTCTAGAAAAAACTCGTTGTCTTCTGGTAGAGGCTGGTTTACCACATATTTTTTAGGCAGAGGCAGTAAACATATCTGTGTACTTACTCAATAGAATTCCTAGTCGATGTGTCGAAAAGATACCATAATATGAACTCTGGACTGGAAGAAAAACAAGTGTTGCTCATGTACGAATCAGTCAAAGGCATACAGGCTCTATGATCTACAGAAAAACTATTTTATTTGTATCCAGAGATGTACCTACAATTTGTCGAACAGGAAAAAGGTAACATACTTTTTGGGAAAGAACAACACAGAAAAGGAACAAAAAGATTTTTTCTGCTTTGATGAAGTTGAACAAGAGCTAGTGGAAGAAGAAAATGGTGTGGAAGATAATTATTCAGAAGAAATGAATGATTAAGAAAAAAATTTACTAGAAGATAACGCAGATTCAGATTACCAAACAAAAAGTGGTAAAAGTTAATAATTTAGATTCAGTTGTAAGACCACAGAGAGAGAAAGGTTTGTTACGTGGCCCCACGTTGGGCGCCAATTTGTAACCCACAAAACGCGATTGAAGAGTAAATAATAAGATTTGAGCAATTGAGACAGTGAATGGGTAACTAAAACAAAAAAAAAATAAAAGAAAAGGGTTGGTCGGTGGGTGAAATCTAGAAACGGGACTTCGTGTGAAGGGTTGCCGACTAGCTTCCAATGCGGAGAGGGGTGTGGATCAATTAAATAATTAAATATAGAGTGCCACCTGGTTTTCCCTGCAGTACACGAAATCAATCGATATAACGAAAGCAGGAAACTTCTACGGACCTACAGCAACACAACCTGAAATATAAAAGTACTTAAACAGAAAGGAAGGGCATAAGTGAAAAGCTTTGCTACCATCAGGTACGGGTTTTTTAATTAGAACCAGAACAGGTTTGACTCTAGAGCAGATTTTCCGAACGACCTGGAACTCTGGAACCAGAACAAGAAATATTAAAAGAGTTACATACCAAGGAGTTATTAACAAAGAAGAAGAAGATTCTATTGATGTTGATGAAGCTCTTAATCGATCAGATAAAGAACCATGGAAAAAGGCTGTGCGAGATGAATATGATGCACAAATTAAAAATGGCACATGGGAATTAGACAAAAAACCCCTTTAAAATAAATGGGTGTTTAAAACCAAAATGGAAGAAAATCAAGTTAAGTATAAGGCTCGATTAGTCATTAAAGGTTGTGCTCACAAAAAAGGGCATCAATTTTGAGGAAACATACTCACCAGTAATTCGATATACTTCTTTAAGCACTAGCTGTTGAAGAAGATTTAAATATAGACCAGTTGGATGCAGTCACAGTTTTTTTTACAAGGAGAGTTGACTGAAGAAATCTACATGACACCTCCAGAATATTTTGATGAAACTGAAAAAGTTTGCAGATTAAAAAAGTCCATCTATGGATTAAAGCAAGCAAGTATAGTGTGGAATCAGAAGTTGGACAAAGAAGGAGGCACTTCTCTTATGGCAAATGGATCTCCAACAGATTTTTCTAAAATGTGGAGATGCTGTTATTTTTAAGGTTCTGATTAAAAGCCATCATTGCCGAACCTTGTGCGGTTTATACTTTAGCCTCCAGAGGACGATAAAGTTTCATATAACTTTGCACTGTTATATAACTTGGTGTAGTTATAAGTTATAAAATATAAATAATTTAGGATCATTATGAACATGTGGTATCTAAGATGTTTTGTATAAATATCGCAAAAGTAACGACCACATATTATTAAAAGTGATTTTTCAGACACTTGAATCCTTATTTCTGTGAGGGGAAGTTACCCGATTACACCAAGTTTATATTAGTTATATGAAACTTTAGCGCCCTCTGGAGGCCGCACGAGGTTCGGCCAATGATGGCTTTTAATCAGAGTTTAAAAAACCACAACATATCCAAACTTCAGAAAAATCTGTCGAAGATCCATTTTTTTTTTAAATATTGGCTTGAGATATGGGCTTAAGGGCCAAATTATGGACTGACTGGTAAACGTCTGGTTGTTACCTAGCAGGTACTTTCTATGCACTGGAGAATAGAAAGTACCTGCTAGGTAACAACCAGACACTTACCAGTTGGTCCATAATTTGGCCCTGACGGCCAAATTATGGACTGACTGGTAAACGTCTGGTTGTTAACTAGCAGGTACTTTCTATGCACTAGAGAATAGAAAGTACCTGCTAGGTAACAACCAGAAACTTACCAGTTGGTCCATAATTTGGCCCTAAAGCAAAGTCAGTCAGTCAGAATCTTGTATATATTATAAAATTAATGTAAGAGTGAAACTAATAGTTGAAATTTATTTGGATTATATTATGGGCGTTTTCTTTTATCCAGCGGTGGATCCATCGGTGATTAGTCTTTGTCTAGCTCAAAGAAAATAGGAATATCTGTCTCATAATGCTGGCAGCAGATGAATCCATTGCTGAATAAAAGAAACCTCCCTATGCTTCTGTCAAATAACCAAAAGGCCAAACAGAAACTGAAAAATTAACTACACAGGAATTTCAAAATGAATTTTATTGGAAAAGTCAAACATATATTGGGTATGCAGATAACAAGGGACAAAAAACGTAGAAAAATATGGATTGATCAAAAATTTCATATTGAAAAACTATTCAAGAGGTTCAATATGAAAAATGCACACCCAGTATATTGTCAACTAGCTGCTTAGGAAAAAAGGACCCGGTATTCAACCTTATTAATTTAATTGCTGATTCGATCGGATATTTATTGCATTTCAGCAATAAATTGATATAAATAGTGGGCCAAGCCAAGCAACAGGCAGACTTAAAGCAGTGCAATTACCTCTCGTTGGGAAAGCCCCTCCTGGAATTAAATCTCCCCAGTGCAAGTACCTCTCATTGGGAAAGCCCCTCTAGGTATCTTCAGTCTTATCGTTGTCCAGCGCAATTACCTCTCGTTGGGAAAGCTCCTCTGGACAAGGTATAAGGGTGACGATAACTAACAGATATTCCTTCCCAAGAAGCGTCAGACGTGTGCCCTTCCCACATAAGAGCATGTATCAAGGATTCATGACATAATGACCTCTTAGCAAATAAAAACCTTTCTATATAAAAACAAAGGGAGTTTCTCTTAGTGATGGGCGATGTTCTGTAAACATCGATGTATTGTCTTCAATATTCGATGTTTTTGTCATCGATGTTGATGGCACTAGATATCGATGTTACCATCGATGTTTTTTTAAAACATCGATCAATATTCTGTTCTGAGAATTCTCTTATAGCGGTTTCCATTTGTCGAACCAGTGCAAAAAAAATGTATCCTTATCCTCACATATTACATGCTTGTAGAAAAAGATGCGGATACACTCAGTGCGCACTGATTGACAAATGGAAGTTGCCATAAGAAGGCTCTGCCTTAAGCCTAGTACTCATAACTGCGAATTTCGCACTTTTTTGACATTGCTTTGACTAATTGACGTTATATGCGTGAATCAAACGTCAAATTGTCGAAGCAATGTCAAAAAAGTGCGAATTTCGCAGTTATGAGTACTATGCTTATTGCCTGTCATTACAGTGACCTGTCATTTGCAATTAGATAAAGCGCGTTCGGTTCACGGTTGCCGTCGGGCGCCCCTTGGAAATTTTCTATCTTTTTTTATTTGGTGATTTCAACGAAGACAAACATATTTGTGAAACTACTCGGAGTGCGCCCGGGAGTCATTCATGCGGCCCGTGCGGGTATTTAGAGCAAGATTGTTACACTGAAGTGTGTTGAATTCCCACTTCTTGAAATAATTTTTACACAAACAACCAGGTTCTCGAACGTAGCTTTAAACTTGGTCTTGGCAATTCTTAAAATTTACAATCGCAATATTTTTTATTGCCAACATCGAACATCGATATTTGATAAACATCGATGTTTGGTAGTCGATATTTTCATACCATCGATGTTGACTTTCGATGGCCAACATCGATGTTTCGTATCGATGTCCCATCACTAGTTTCTCTCTATCTACCTACCATACAATCCCCGTCACAGAGAAGCTGTGACAATATATACGCCAATGGTAGCAGAAGAAAAGCTAACCAAAGAACAATCTCCAAAGACAGAGGAGGTTGAAATATTAAAAAGCAAACCTTTTCATGAAGCTGTGGGAAGTTTGCTATCTGCGGCACAAATCTCTAGACCTGATATATGTTACGCAGTCAGTAGTGTCGGTCGTTTTAACCATCAACTATGATCAGAATATTGGTCAGCAGTTAGGCGTATTTAAAGGGAACATTAAACTACATATTCGAATTTAATGGAGTTAAAGTCCAAAATTCAAACATTTATGATTATTGTGATGCTGACTGGGTAAATGACCCATCTGATCAATGATCTATTAGGTACAGGTTACATTTTCATGGAAAATGGTTCACCGATATCATTGAATAGTAAAAAAACAGCCTACTGTGGCGTTGTTTACAACAGAGGCTGAATATATTATGAGCATGGCAATGGCAGCACAAGAGGCTCCGTGGTTGAAAGTTCTCAGTAAAGATTGTTATATGTGGATAACCAAGCAGCACAGAAATTGGCGTGTGCTTCGTGTGTATCAATTAAAGTTTCTCCGCTATTAGTTGGGGCTTAATCAATTTCTAAACCGCCATTCCCGTTAAATTACATCACTAGTCAATATGTGAAAATCCTGGTTTTAAAATACATATTATATCAATTCCACTTTACTTAGAACAACAATTTATGAATCAATGCCTGAGAAGTAAGACAAAAATATCTTTTTTATGTGTTTATTCGAGGTCTTACAAGAATGCAATTTCTAATAATAAACCACCCCCCAAACAATGATACATTTTTTTTCTAAATACCTAATCCATGTGACGTCCAATACCGAAAATTAATTTAATATAAAAAAACAATTTCGTACCATTCATTAAAGTTTTGCGGAGGCATGCGCCCGACCAGGAAGTGAAAATTGCGGGAAAATCGGGACTTTTCCTTCAGGAAAACTGATCAGTTTAACGCGCGATCTCTAACGGTCCGAACTTGACTTTGTCGAACATCGAATACATTTTCCGTTCGCGAAATAAACTGTGATTTATTTGTTTGAAATTGAAAATAGTAACTTTTTCTGGGTGATTTGTGTACTTATGTGACTGCTTTTTTTGTAAATTTCATTTGATAATTTAACTTGTAAGTATTTTAAATTAGTTGATAAGTTCATGTAACAATTTTGCTTGGCTTCTCTTATAAACAATTTCTATCGTCTAAGAATATGGTAGGTATACTTAGCAAAAGTAAACCGATATGTTAAAAAACCTTAAAGTTAATTTTGTATTTGTATATCTACTTATTAAATTTTATAATAATTGCTCCCAATACTTTTGGTTTGCATAATTTAAATAAATCGATTATATCAACTAATTTGCTGTTGTATTGTTTCGGTGGAAAATTTTGTTTCTGTTTCTAGCGAAAATTGAAAAGTTACCTATAAGCTGCAGCGTATTTATTTTCCAATTAGGGTGAAGCTTGTCAATCTGGAAAACAAATAAAGGGCCCTAATTTGATTTTTAAACCAATATCGGTCAATTGCTTGTTTTTTTCGAAAATAACATCAAAGAATTTGGTTTAATTTGAAATTTATTATAAATAAAACCTGGACTATATCAAAAATCATTGTCCACTTACGTAAATCACCCATATATGTAGTAAGTTGAATTTTACGCACACAATGACATCTGCGACTCACATAAATGCCAATTATTGTATTATTTTTCTATTAAATGTTTGTTCTTTATAGTGGGTGTTCCTGAACCTATAAAATATATAAATGTCGAAGGTATTTCCTATAAAATAAAGCTCACACTGATTGTGGAGGAAATGGAAAACTTTATAGGCGCTTAAGATAAAACTCGGTTGGATTCCAATCAGCATTGCTTAATAAATTGATTCAAATGATAAATATTTCTGTCCAATCATTTAACATCCAAATAAAATATAAAACCAGTGCAATGTAATTGATAAACATTTTCAATCGCATGTAGTTAAAACCTATAAATACGCGAATGCTAGTAAATAATGTTCGAGTTTCCATTTAGGCGTGCGTAAAATGTGAATTTCAAAGTGTATCAACATTTTATAAAAAGTGTAAATAACTTAATTGAAATATGCAAAACTTGATGGTAACCTAATTTTGACTCAATTTATTTCCATAGTCTTTTATTTACATTAAAACCCCAGTCGCACATTTTACACAGAACTACTTTCTTTGCCATGTGAAAGCCCTAATTGGAAAATAATTAAATTCTCCAACTAAATAAAAAAGTCCAGAAGCAAAAGCCTTTTCGTGGATAAAATACGAATTTAATTTTTATTTTTTTTTTTTTTTTTTTTTTTTTTTACGGATATGCGCACTCGCAAGGAAATGTCCTATCACGCTCGAGAAGCGGCAAGTGCGCGGAAATGTCGGTGTATGTTGGTCTTGAAACGGTTCAGGTTGTAACCTGCAGGGAAAACCGTCGCAGGGAGTTTATTCCACAGCGATGCTGTTCTCCAGAGATATGAATTCTGATATAATGAGGTTCTTGGTGCCTCTAGTTTGACAGTAAATTCATGGTTACCGTCTGTTTGACGGGTTCGCCTGGTAGGTGCTACTCTCGGTGGAATCATACGTGCCAACTCTTCAGAGCATTTTCCGTGATAGTACCTGTAGAAGAGAGATAAATCGCCCACAGATCTGCGATGTTCGAGACCATCCAAGTTACGAGTAAGTGCGGGGTCATTGATCAGCTTGATAGCTCGTTTTTGCACGGTATTCAAAAGCATTAAGGTATGTTTGGGTGCTGCACTCCATATATGTGAGCAGTACTCCATAGTTGGTCGAATCTGGGCTTTGTAGAGTGTCAGCAATTGGCTTGGTGTGTACAGATGTCTTGTACGAAATAGCACCCCCAGCTTTTGGGAGGCCCTTTTAGCAATATCTGCCACGTGACTGTGCCAAGACATGTTGGTCTCTGCAGTAACCCCCAAGATGTTCAACTGACTCTGTAATGTGACAGCACTTCCAGATAGCATGATGTTTGGCTCACCGGTGCTGGTCTTTTTTGAAAACAGAGCTGCTTGGGTTTTCTGCGCGTTGAACTGTACAAGGTTTTTGTTACCCCAGTCCTCTATTATCTCCAGGTCGTTATTTATCTGCGATATTTGAGTTAGTCTAAGATCATGGAATTCACGTGCGGAAAGACCTGTGGGTGGTATGAGTGAGGAGACTACATTGCCATCGTCTGCAAAGCAATAAAGTGGATTTACTGTTTTATCTATGAGGTCATTTATGTAAATCAGGAAAAGAGTTGGCGAAAGGATTGCTCCCTGTGGCACACCAGCATTTATTTGGTAAGAGTTGGAGTTCTGGCCATCCAGTGCAACATAAATGGATCTGTCCTTTAGGTAACTTTCAAACCAAGTGCAAAGTTTCGGCGATAATCCCATTGCTTTGAGCTTGTTGAGCAGATTTTCATGCCAAACTTTGTCGAATGCTTTAGATATATCTAAGGCAATTGTTCTTGTTTCACCCCGCAACTCAATCGCTTTTTGCCATAAGTGAGTGACGTATGTAAGTAAATCGCCAGTTGACCTATATTTTCGAAATCCGTATTGCTTATCGTTGATAATTTTGTACTTTTCCAAGTACTTGGTTAGGTGATTGTTCACAACTCTTTCCATTACTTTTGATATCACCGGAAGTAGAGCAATTGGTCTATAGTTTAACGGATCTGTCTTTTTTCCTTTCTTTGGAATGGGTTGTACTGCGGCAGACTTCCATGATGATGGATATACTCCTTGCCTGTAAGACAAATTGAATAATTTAGCGAAAGTTGGGGTGAGTTCGTTGGCGCAATTTTTGAGTACTATTGCGGGAATGCCATCCGGACCCATTGCTTTGTTTGTATCCAGCTTTTTTAGGGATTTTCGTATTTCTCTGTGACAAAAGTGTACCTCTGGCATACTATGGGAAACCCTTTCAATGAACGGTGGAGTTTTTCCGTTTGGCACTGTTAGGTTGGAGTTGGAGGAAAACATTTGGGCAAGCATATTGGCTTTTTCCTCTGATGTTGTGGCTAAGTGATTATTTTTATCTGTAAGTGGTGGTATGGATGACTTGGTGAAGTTAGATCCAACAGCTTTTGCAAGAGACCAAAAAGACCTAGAACTACTTGGACAATTCAGCAACCTGTTTTTTATTCTTTGATTGTATGTTTCTTTAGCGGAGTCAATAGTAATTTTGCAACTATTTCTGGCTTCTATAAATTCTGTGTGGTTTTGAGCGGTTTGTTGTCGTTTCCAAAGGTTATATGCTCTGTGTTTTTTCTGTACAGCCGTTTGACACTGGCTGTTGAACCAAGGTTTTGCATTAGCTCTACGTTTAGTTGTATGTGGGATATATGCGTCCATTCCAGATAAGATTACTTGTGTTATTTCATTACAGCAAATAGTGGGATCAGCTGTTTTAAAGCAAACCTCTTGCCATGGAAAATCCAGGTAATACTGTTTTAGGTCATTCCATTTTGCCGATTTATAGTGCCACATTTTACGAGGAAGTGGTTGTAGGCTTGGTGGGATGAGCATTTCGCACTTTGTTATTATAAGTTTATGATCGGACGAACCAAGTGGAGCATCTACTTGAATTGTGTACGAGTCAGGATTGGTGGTTAGGAACAAGTCTAAAAGCGCTGCAAATTCGCCCCTTTCTGAGATACGGGTAGGTTCATCGACAAGCTGCGTTAGACCACAACTTATGGCAAAAGCTTCTGCTTCTCTGCCTTCGTTATCTGTTTTGTTGTGGTGTTTCAGCCAGGGTATATTATGGACGTTGAAATCGCCTAAAAAGACAATTTCCGCCTGTGGATAGTTTGACTGTATACTATCACAGCTTTCGGATAATGTCGCGAAAAAGTTTTGGTAATCGGTGTTACTTGGCGGTCGGTAGAGGCAGCAGATAAACTTGGTCGATGACTTTGAGGTGAATTTTAGCCATATGATATCAAGGTTCGCTGGTTCTAGCTTCTCCTCTCGATGACATGAAAGGTCATTTTTAATGTACACACAGATCCCAAAATTATGTCGAAATCGGTGGTGTAGGTCATAGCCGGGATAAAAATAGTTCACAATAGGTGTTGCAGAACTGATTTTAGTTTCAGTGAGAACAAGGATGTCAGGTCTTTGTTCTTCAAGATGTTGGTGAACTGAATTCATATTTGTACTTATTCCTCTTATATTGCTAAAATCAATTCTGAGTTGAGTTTTTGATCTTTTTATATCTTTGCATGAAGGACCCCCAGGATCACCCGACGCCCGGAGATCCGAGTGGTCGGGTATTATCCGAGTGGTCGGGTATTAATCCGAGTGGTCGGGTATTATTATTATTACGCCGGTCACGTTGGAAAACAGGGAAACTCTACTGTTGGTAACATGAACTAGGATATATTTTGTGTAGGTAACTTCTCTAGTAAGAATGGGAAAAATGTGCTGAAAATATTTGTATTTTGAGTTATCGACACTACCACCAACTCCAACTACTGAGCAGCACAGCTTCACATTGATTGCAGGTTCAAATGTGGCGTGGAACAGTTGATTCCGGAAGACTGGGGATGGGTAAATGTAAGAGGGGTTGTATGTTGTCTGTGTGACATAGAAATTGCAACACCCAGTGAATGTGAATATGTTTTATCAATATTTTGGGAAGTAGTTAGAATAAATAATATGAAAAACAATCGATCACATTTTCATGCTGCGAAGCAGATGATCGATATCTGCTTGTGGTAGGTTTTCCCAGAATAATCTTACCTCATGACGTAGACGTTGTACCTCCTGTAGAAGATGTGACAACTGCTTTAGCCTTCTACCTATCACATCTCAGGCATGCTCGATAGGCGATAAGTCTGGTGATCTTGCAGTTCATGGAAGAACGGTAATATTAGCTTGTTGGAGGGAGTTTCTAGTAACTGCAGCGATATGTGTTGTTGAAAAATTAGATCTTGCAGTTGCTGAAGGTAGGGCAACGTGACAGGTTGTTATACGTTATTAATGTTGGATTGAGCGTTCATGTTTCTATCAAAAAAAAACTAGAGGTGACCTACTTCCAACTGCTATGGCATCCCAAGCCATAACGCCCCTAGTAAGCGCAGTCTCACGCT